TGTTTTTTATAGATAGGTGACTGTTCATTAATTCAAAACCCTGCTTTCTAGCGTTTCAGTTAAGATGTTGGATAGGTTGACTTTATTCTTCATTTGTTTTTTGGATAGTGGTATTTTTCATGTAAAATATTCACAAAAGACCAAGAAGTTTACAATTTCGGATGGTTTTTTGATTTTTTCTATATTTATGGCATATTGTTACTTTTGAGACGAATCGTGAAGACCTCCCAACGGTTTACCGCCTCATCATGGCTGGGATGTGTTCCTAGGTGTCGGATTGCGATGTACAGCAGAGGATTCATCTCCTGGCAGGCTCTCCCAAGCTGAGAGCCAGTTCGGCTTTTCCATTAGGAAACCTAGCTAAGAGTAAACAAATGCCAGGATTCACCACCGTCATGGTATCAAAGTCATATGATGGCACTTCCTCTGATCCACAATGGTTGCTGCTGCCTGTGGGGGTGAAGACCTGGGGCAGACTTTGGCCAGGCTGATCTCGTGATTCAGGGCAACCACAATGGCTTTACCAGCAAATTTTCGAAAAGTGGAGATTATGCTGGGACCCGTACAACCAGTGAGGACGGGCCATTCGAGTGTCGAGAGAGAGAGAACGTAGTGAAGATTAATGAGTCAGTGTTCTGACTTCATGTAGAACTCGGAAGAAAAGCGACGCTGATGAAGCAGAACCTTCAATTCAGGATTGACCGTGACACAATTAATTTCACTATGGTGATCTCCTCTGCAAATTTCCAAGTTTAACCTCGAAAAACTGCACCTTTGAACGTCAAAGTGGACAAAAACAACTGCTGTCACTCTTCGTTACTCTTGAGTGCGTTGCTCTCGCTGCAAAGTAATTCATAGTTTCTCCGAAGTCCGATGTCGTTGTTGAAGTCGCATAGAAGATCTTGTTGAAGTACCTGTCAAATCAATCACCCAGCCACATCTCTTTAATCGTAATTGTTTTCTTTTTCATTCGTTAGATTTTCAAACGAATTAGTACTCATGGTCGAGGACTTACCGAAGTCAAAAATTTCGCTAGTTTCTCTACTATGACACCTTCTAAGGAACAGTTTCGTTGTAGTATCGTAAACGACGTGAAACAAGCAGTGTCTTCACTTTTGACCAGTTCGATAACGTTCCACCTAGTCGTTTTCGTCTACATTATGGAGTCGTCAGTGGAGTATTCCGATGCTAGCATGGGTGCATCAGGGCTAAAACGGCCGTGAGAATTTAGCTACATCTCTTCGATCGCCCTACCTAGTGTTCTACTTTCAAAAAAATTTCCGTGGTTAGGACAATGGGATTTTACTGCTTTTGACGAGAGATACCCATGGGACACTTGCTGACCTATGTCATAAGACGCTTTTATAGTCCTCATCGGTGGCTGTCTTTGCTTTTCAACTGTATACTCGTAGCTTATTTTTTGAGTATGACTGCGAATATTTGGCTTGTACTTTGCAGTAATACTCCATTCCTAATTGCATACATTTAACAGAGCTGACGCGCAGAATTTATTCGTCATGTATGGAAATATGTACATTTGCTTGAATATCCCTATGGCGATGCAGATAGTTAAAGATGAATCTGATATGGAAGATACAAGGAGCTAGTTCATCCCTGAGTTGAGTACACCAGTGTCTCTGGGCAAATAGAGAGTTGCCACAGGTATCTTTTTAACATTTCTATTAGCCGTATGGTGATTTCGTCAAGTAATCACCCGAGTAACCAGGTCCGGACACTAGAATTATGGAAATTCGTGAACGTACATGTCCAACAAGGGTATACAAACCTTCACAAAGTCTTCATGCAATTCTTATTTTGCTGAGAATTCAAATTTTCATATGGTTGAACATATTTGAATACTAAAAAATTTGATACGAACATGGCAGCTGCAACGAATAACGACGGATTCGGTGACACCATCGTGTCTATGCATAATGTGGATTTAAAATGATGGTTTGTATAACAATAAGTATACTGAGATATGAGCAAAGCACAGGACCGCAGATGAGCTTCGAATCGGCGTTTACCCTTGTCGAGAACTCACATGGTGTCACCACACCAATCGAGACCTTTCCTTTTGCTTACTCGCGGCCACGTTTTCACTCTATCGGTGCTAAAGAGGTAATCATTATCTCTTTTTATGCTATCTCTGCATCCTTACAGTTGTACTTCACATCGTACTCCACTATGAAAAATGAATGGAAAAAAATTGAATGTAAATAAAGGTTGAAAACTCGTATTTTGTTTGGAAACATGCATAGATGTTAATGGTCTTATTCCAACTTATAAAATTGAGTATAGACTGAAATTTCCTTATTTAATAAGTAACGCTCGAAGCAGGTTTTTGGTTAAACGATTACGAGAGTATTTTAGGAGTTCAAAACCATATGGAATCCTGGAGACCTTGCTGTACTAGACTAATTCTATATAATTTCTGTGCAATGTGCTCTCATGTTTAGATATGTTTGGAGTCAAAACTTCAAAAAAATTGGTGGTGAGATTTGAGTTTTTAAAGTTCCCACCATAAGAGTGGCGGATGCAAACAGGAACCATACGTTGGATAACATCGTTGCGTCCTGCTGGGCGAAATTCCGGCTTTTGGCTTACTTTCACGTTCGAAATATGAGCGTTGAAGCAATAAAGTGGAAGAAACATGTCATGGGCCACAAAATTTGACAGTTTCATCTTGAGAGGGGAAATCCTTGGACTATAATGGTTTCCACTCTAACTAATGTAGTGTGCTAAGGGATAAAATACGTCGTTTTCAAGTTTATAGTAGATATTGCTTCTGCATCTAATGCAATGTATGTAACACATTTCGTTCGTGTAACTCGGTGTTGATCCATTTCCACCCACACTACTGTTGAGATCAACCCATGATAATAATATTGATGCACAACACAAAAGTGTGGGCTGTTGCCCTCATTGGCAGCGCTTCTTATTCGTTTTGAGCAAGTTACTAGTTAATTTCTAGATAATTTGGCAGCTTGACTCCATTCAACCGGGCAGCCGTTAATGGGCCTCGGGAGGAGTCGTATCGTCTAAAGTTCAGCGAGAAGTAAACGCGATCAATCTAGACTCGAAAGCAAGCGATGCCGGTGAAATTGGCGGGTTTGTGCTATGTAATGGTGGGCAATTCTTTACGCCGTACATCATGCCGGTGTGCATGTTTTGCACAACATGATGAAATAGTGCAGTGTCAGTTATAGCCATAGGTTTAGTCAAATCGTAGTTCTATAATATGTAATGAGATGCTACTAGAGAATGACATTCAATCAATTTTGGAAACGAAAATCACTAGAGTTGAATTGAGTGATCCCGTTTTCTTTAATGAATAACGATCTATTGTATTATTTTTCCACAAACCGTTTATGAACTATGCCAAAACAAAATGAGGAACTGAAATCCGTTCAAGTTATTGCCTCATTTTCGATAAGAGTCTGAGACAAGTGTCGTTTTTAAGTCTAAAAGTTTTCGTTTGCTTTTAGCTGTTTTGTTTAGTCAGTTGTCAGAGGTGCCCAAAGGTAAAAGTAAAAGATGTCAAAGGTAAAAAAAAGGTTTAAGAATGTAATGAAAGATACATTTATCAACTTACTCTGTGGCCACCGTTTAGATCCTGTAATTCTTCTTTCCTTGCTATACGTTTTTTAAAAAAATTCTGCGTGAGCAGGAAGACCCCCTAGTGATTATTATCGAATGTAAAATATTGACGAGTAGATGCTAGAAGTATGTTGTACCACTTAATTTATAAAGGGGTCTTAGATTCAAGCCAATTTGACAGTCTGATGGCAGAAATACTGTTTCTATGTCAAGTAGTCGAAAATGAAATGGGCTGAATTCATGAGAAGTCTTAACGATAACAGGTTGAGAAAACCCATTAGAGATTTTGTTATGTGAGACATTCAGTATGAAGATCACCGACCCAATTGTAATGGTCCATTACGAAAGTCCTAGAAGGTGGGGAAGGTGAGGACACTTCTCGAGACTTTCGAACTAGTGCTGTGCTAGTCCAAGAACAGATTTTGCAATGAACGCTCATTTCACTGAAAATTTCTTCCACTGTAGCTTCGCAGGAGTTATTTAGTGGACGATTTTTCATGATCGTTAATCTATTCACGTACTTATTGATTTTTCGAAAACATCCTTTGTGACTACCGAATTCTTGAGGTTGGAAACTCACTGGGGTGATCCAGAAAGCCCATGGTGTCTTGTTGAATGAAGTCTCGCCTCCTGAACTATTTAATGTTCAAAATACTTTTCTCTCCAAAAAAAAGAGAAAAAAGTACACCTTCTACCTCTAGTAAAGCGAAGTTTCTTCTTAGAACTTGTTTCTTGTTGGAAAAGATGGGAATATTCCAAAAGTTTCTGTTTCAATTAGTAAACTCATGGTGATGTGAGACATATTTTTCTTAAGTTGTAGCCATTATTTTCTCGTTATATAGATTAGAATCTCTTCACACGTCCGAGGATGGGTTTGCTAAACTTTAAGAACATGTTGCTTTGATTTTTTTAAATATTTTTTATTTGTCTAAGGACGTATTTTATATGTTGTGAATCCGGACTATAAGGGCGGATGATTTGAACGGTTTGACCGATGAACAAGCGATTTCCTGTTCTATGATGGAGTGATCCATTATCATTTTACGGCCTCGAGAGCACGGATGTCCGTGTTGATCTCACGGTGGAAAGTGGTTGAATGAGAACGGATGGTCGGAGTTACGGCCTTGTTGCAGGTGTATTATTCTGCGCATTCCTCTCTGATATAGGTTTTCAAAAAATTCTTTGCTTTTCATGAAGATCTTAGGAACCCGGTGAGGGTGTGCAAATCGTTCGGCGCAGAATAACCTTGTTTTTTCTATCAAATTTGAAGAGCAAGGAATCCTTGTGTATATAACAATTTTCTCAAGTATATGGGAGATTATTTTGTTCGTTTTATATTTTCTTCGAACAAGTTTTATTACTTAGTTATTTTCGAAAGAAACCAGGATTCGACTTTGCCAATGTGTCGCTTCTCTATATTCTCTTCACAGGATGGCTTCGCTGTTGAACTGGCACGAAAAGAGAATGAGGCTGTGGAGTCGTTGTCAATCCCATTTACTCGAATTCTGAAAATTGTAAGGATTCGATACTGTTTTTGTTCTTTAACATTACGGAATACTCGACTTGCTATTCGTTATCTAGACTACTTCACCCAGTTATAAAGAAAGTCAGTGCCAAGAATTTGGAATTAGTATGGATTTGGACGAAATCTCATCACGAAAATTGGCCGTTCTTTATGGAACAGCGGTAATCAAATCAACATTTGTCGTTCACTTATAACTCTTTGAAAATACTCCTAGACTCTAGTAATTTTTTGTTTCAGCTCAAAGATGACAGGAAGAAAATAATTTTTTACGATCTCACCTGGTTTGATAAACCGAAGATGTGGGTCTCCGAGTTTTTTGAAATATTTGTAGTTCAACGAAGTGGAAGATATTTCAGGACAATAACCGTGCTTTTCAAAGGGAAGAACGAGATTTACGACTGTATTAAGGGACTGCAGAGATGGGTAGGTTGGGATACAGTGTATTATCCACAGGCTCTCCTTAGGCATATACATTCATATAATATGTTCATGTGTGTGTTTTAAGTATATGTTTAAGCCACCTGATCCCACCTGACTATGATATTTTGAAAGTTTATTCATATGTGGAAGATCTCAGGGTAGAGCGTAGTCGGACCAGCGATCCCATACAGTGCGGGAGCATCACTGTCTACTGCATCTGTTATGCCCTCTAATCATCTACAAATTGTGTGCAGTTGTTGTGAGAGACTGGAGCGAGCATGAGTAGAGCTCTGAACGGCAACCAATAGACATCTCACCGACCGCTGCGATAGGGGAACTCTGAAGGCTTCCACATAACCTTTCCTAAAATAAATTTGAGCTTTATTTGTTAGAATTGATCCGGAAGCGCCTCCCATATACGTCTCTAGCTCAAATTAGAGGCGTTTGATCATATCGACGAGCAAAATGCAAACTGCATAAAGCCCAAATCCACAGAGATATTTACATATGTGAAGCTATAAGCCGTTACAAGGCACCAGGAAAAGAAAGCTCATCTCAGCCGAACATCTCCATGCAAGTGTATAACCGTTTTTGATATGTGTATAATTTCCACTTAGTTATTACTAAGCGTCGCCAACGAGTGGTTGGAGTTTCATCTCATGAAGGAGGTCCATAGACTAATCCTGCTTTCTAGTGAAGAAATTCTAATGCAACCTCTCAAACCTTCTGGATGTAGTATTAATATCGCTTGCTTTTCGAAAAGATATATGTTTATATATGTATGTTCATATGTATATTATATATATTATATATATTATATATATATTTATATATATATATATATACGTATACACAAACGTTAATGCCGTTCAGGTAAATCAGGGAAATCGAGAGCTCATAATGCGTAGGTGCTCCTCGTCAAACGAGAAAACCGGTAGCCCAGTTGCTTACGGTTTGGTTTCAAATCCACTTTTTTCCTTCCATTTTTCCCGGCTCATTTTTTTTTTCGTTTGGTAAGAGTGTGGAATTCCATACTGGTTATTTAAACTAAGAGATCACATAGATTTTCTGTAATATAAGAGCTTGGTGTAAACGTGCGGTATTAACTGGCACGAAGTTCAGTAATATCGTCTTACGCTATCATTTTTACTTGGATATGTTTAAACGAGGCACAATATTTTAGTGGAACTACCCGGCTCTTTGTGGGACCAACACTTACGTAACATTGGTGTTCTTGATTTTTATGGATGTCTTCGTAGATTTTGGAACTATAGTGATGAAAATAATGGTAAATGTAAAACCACTATTATCCTTATTCGGCATTAAGGATACATACTCGTTGCGTTTATTTTAGAGAATTACCAGGAAAACAATAGATCTGCGTCAGCGATGGGGAATATAACGAAAAAACTAAGGTGAGATTTTGGTAGGTGAATGGGAGAAAACCCACCACAGGAATAGTAGTTGTTACTTTAGCTCAAATATTAATGCAATATTTTGAGATGGCATTAGGATTTGGATAACTGTTACCCAAAATATCAGGCAAAATAGTGTAAATACCTAAAGGGTAAAAAAATAAAGAATGAAGCCCTCGGGATTGATCAATCTCTGGGGGGTGCGCCATGCATTCATTGAGCATCGTTGGATGTGATTGAATGCATATCTGGCTTATACAATGACTCGCGGTGGCCTACCGTTGTATCGAACCAGTGCTGCTATCCTCCTAGACTGGTCTTGTAGCACTATGCCAACCCCAGAGGGATGGAAGGCTGGGTGATCCACGGGCGCGGAGATCGATCCCATGTGTATGTCACAGGGCACCTCCGACCACTGCGCCACACGTGACCCTTGGCAACACATATTGTTTAGAATCTTCCGCCCAGGTAATGTTTTTAAGGTATGTTTTCTTTAGGTGATTTATCGTTCACTCGATGGGGAAATTTCGTTGAAACTGTATTTGCACTCGTTATTTTCTGCTCTGCACAGCTTTATGGTACATTTAATACCGTTGTGTATTTCGGTCTCTCTAATGATTATCCTTTAGAAAAGTCCGTGTCAATATTACTGTGTCTTTTTTTCCCAATAGATTTACAAGTTCTTGTTTCTGAAGGCCTTATATTGCTCAGGGTCTGCAATCGGCAGTTGAGTTAGTCTACCGCATGACGAGTACGAAAAACAATGCTGAAGGAAGACGGGCGTGGATTTTTGACAGTTGTGGTTTTTGTTGTTATTTTATTGTTAGCTCACATATGTGAGCATCTACGCTGGTGGTTTGACCAGGTTGTTGATAACGACAAATTTTTTCACAGACGCGCCCCCTTTTTTTTGCGCGAAGCGTTTATGCATGTACGGTTCATCAACGAACTTTCTGCATTTTTTTCTATTTGCATTGTTTTCTCTTCTTATTCGTCACTATCTACAATTGTATTCTTGTCTTTACCTTCTTTTTCATCCTTATAAGGTCTTGAGTGGACAGCATTGTATTCAGTTTGACAGTAATGCGCAGCTTTTTGAGTTTTTAGTGGATTTAGAGGATTTTTCCTTAGTCTGCATGCGTTTTTAACGAATGATAGTAGTGCTGTATTTTGTCCTATACTCTGTTGTATTTTTTGAAATTTTATTTTCCTGTTTTTTTTCCCAGAGTGTACAAGAAAGTTGTTATTTCTTATTTCCTTAGAGTATACAGCAAAGTCGGTAATGTTCTTTGCCTGGCAGTACATAATATTACTTGGATATCCTTTATTCACAAGTTGTTCAGGGCCCAACACGATTCCCATTTGAGTAGTGTTTCAGTTTTTCAGTTACGTAAGCTTTTCTTTTCGTCACGGACCAGATGGGGCTACCTTTTCGCAGTTCATTTTTCTATAGTTCTTCGAAGACGACAGTGATCTTGGGCACAGATTTACTCGTAACATGAGTTCTGTGTAGAAATGTCGTGTATCATTGTATCATTATATCAGGGGTGGAGACAAATTGTTGTCGATAAATGTTAGTTATTCAATTATTCATGCTTTCTCTTGTGCAGATGTGTTAACCGTTTAATAACAAGAAAATATTGATCCATCCGAAAATTGAGGGGAAACTTCACGACTCGTTGCGAAAACATTGAATTCGTCTTAATTAAGTATATATTCGTCGGTTTTTGTATTTTATGTGCTTATGATTCAAGACAGTCTCGTCAGACATAAATTTTTACTAGCTGCGAGACACGCGAAACCAAGGACTCACATGGTTTGGTGGTGAACGCGTTACTCCCCGGAAAGGACAATACGGCGTTTGTTCCTCAGCTTAGACACCTGCAGTCCAGAGTTTTGCAAATATCTCAGCAACATTGTGGTTGTATTTCGCTTAGTACCCTACCGTGAAAATTGGAGTAGGCAGGAAATAAAAGGTGAAATATTGTGATTTCAACTACAGCCTTAGCTTAGCTGGGTTCATTGCCGATTTGGGCTCCCTAGATTAATCTCGCTGACGGGTGATTGCTGATGGCGCTGATCGATAGAACTGGCTGAGAAACAGGCGAAACGAAGGACCCGCATGGTGTGATGGTGAACGCGTTACCCTTCGGAAGGCAAAATACCGCGTTCATTCTCCACTTTAGACACAGTTTTCAAATATCTCGGAAATCTTAACTCTTTTATTTACTGCCTTTTTCTTCTTAATGGCAGGGTATGTTGTGAAATATAACTCGTATGAAGTGCTGAGATATTTGCAAAACTCCGGACCACAGGTGTATGCAGTGGGGAACGAGCACGCGCTGCTCCCCGGTAGGGACAACAGCGCGTGTTCGTTCCCCACTGCATACACCTGTGGTCCGGAGTTTTGCAAATATCTCAGCACTTCATACGAGTTATATCTCGGAAATATTGTGATTGTATAATTTTTCATTTTTTCTTATCAGCGCAACACTGAAAAAAGCAACGGCTGCTTCAAAAAAGGAAAGAAAAAGCTATGCTTTGAGCTCAAAATTTGAACCCACTTAGCTCATTTCACTACCGAGGTTAGACAGCGGTCGGTTATAAAATTGTTGCTTGCTATTCGCCATGTGCTACCTGACACAATACCGACTGCTGTAGGGTGGATTATCACTTAAAAAACAAATTATTATTAACTGAAAATAATATCAACAATAACTGCCCCGTATGAAAGAGCGTTGCCGGGTGAGCATGGCTCATTCGAGATGCTCAACTGAGGAAGATCTGGTTCGATGTGAGGCAAAGACGCCACATCGAGAAGAGGAACGGCTGTAGACCATCGACAAGGATCGTCCGTCGGCTCTGATGAAGGTGAAGGCGTTGAAACGTTAGCCGAATAAAACTAATTGACCGAGCTCCAGTAAGATCAACAATTTAAACACATGTCGATGTTTTTATTGTTATTTATTTAATAACGAATGGATCTACTGGCTACTAACAACTCATTTTTTGGATAGTTCTGCTTGGTGTGCTCAATCGTGATAATAAACGGCTACAAGAACGCCAGCTAGATGGTAGAGCAATGTTGAGTAGTGGGAAGAGGCCGTCCAGGAAACCCGAGGACAAGCCGCTGAAAGAGAACGAGAGAGCGGGGCGGGCTTCGACAGTGGATAACACATCGTAGGAAGCAAATCGGAAACATATGTTAGTTTGCTACGTTGAAAATCTACGTCATGGACATATCGTTGTTTCATGCTCTCCTTCCACTTGTACTGATTTCGCTTATCTATTTTCGTCATAATGTTAAGGAATGATGGATACGACGCCTTCAGCGCATTGGCTAGATGTGCCCTGCAATACACATATGGTTACTGATTCGATCACTTTGATGCCTGGGGTACTCACTGATCATTACATTGCTTCGGGATCTGCAAATTGGTACCAGACTTCTATACAAGAATTGCAGCACCGGCTATATTAAGCCAGTCATCTCTAGGTCGCCACAAGTCAATGTATACGCCAACTATGCGCTCAATCATCTCTATCGATGCTTGATGCAGTAGAACGCAGAGCTCTTCACTCAAGGATTGATTAATGCCAAGAGCTTTATTCTCCTTTACTCTTTCAATAAAGGTGATGCACAAATTTGATGTCTAATTGTTAACTTCT